CCGCAATAGAGCAACACAAATCAAGTGAAAAATATGGTGGCAAAGATGCAGCCGCAGATAAAGATCTAAACTGCATAAGGTCTTCAAAGCACACAAATACATGCTCTCCAGCCACAAATAATGATCTTGAAAACCATGATTCACCTGTCAGATTTGAGATAACAACGTTATCAAGCAAGAAATCATTATTGTTTTTGAAGGCCAGGCATTCTTTGAAAATTAGGCTGCAAAAGTGAAGTTCAAGGAATGTAAAATAAAACTTCATCATTACAAGTGTTCTTGACATGCTTCCAAACTGCTTTCATCAGTAGATTTCATCAAAACTAACTATAATGTAACAAAATCTTATATTATGGAAATACCTTTATTTTAAAATTTCTTCGACATGTCTACCAAAATGCTTATTATGTATTCCCTTTCTATGTATTTCAAGTCATGACATGATTACAATCGTCGACTATTAAAAAGTAAAAAATGATGACCAGACTGAATTATTTAGACTCATACCTTCATTATAACTACACCAAAACTGCACCATAGAATACTGGAATATGCTCACTTTTGAACCTCCACATATGTGTTTCTCAAACAACTCAACCTGAACCTGCTCCAAACTGCCATTTAAATTTCCAAAACCCCAGTCTATCATAACAAAGAAATCAAAAGATGCACATCAAAATGGAATAACTCAAGTATAAAACCAAATATACATTAGACACATGCGTACATAAAAACATAGTCGTAAGACCAACAAAACTTTCAAAATTATATCTGAAAGGAAAAACTAACTACCTTCTTAAACAAAATTCATCATTTGGAGCAAAAGAATCAATAACTTTTAAAATAGAAAGTAATTGTCTTGATTTATCAATGCTTCTGGTTTTAAACAGGTATGCGCTCCCTTCCACATACACCCTATGCAAACAGGGAAACAAAATTGTTAGAAAAGTGTTCCCTGTTAGGTTCCATATGTTGTTTAAGTACCACAATTTACTAACCTGACAACATGGAGCCCTATACCAACTACAACCTCGCTGATGTCCTCAACCTTGTGGCACCCCTGTAAATTTAAAATAGTGCCTGCAAGACAAGATCACCCTGGAAATCAATAGCCATATAGCTAACCAAACAGAAAATTAAATTGTCCCAGTAACCATTGACAAAAGAGAAAATTTAATGACATATAAGTCACTCGCAAAGACCTCGTAACCTAACCTGACTCATCGCCTGCAACACCAATGAGTAGCACATACAGCTTGTTTTCACTGCTAAGTAAAACAGCAACTTCTCTGCGTGTAAAATCAAAGAATATAAGCATATAAAAGCAGAAAAAGTCTGAAAATCTGACCCAACATGAGCCCCATTGTTAAAATGTACTGGAAAACCTTCATATGGACAATATCATGCACACTATTGAACTATAAAAAGAAAATTTCGAAAGGTTCACCTTTCTCTCTGAAGAGAATCCAGCTCAAGTATACAACAACAACACATACACTGCTTACTAATCTCATGATTTCCCAAATCTGCAACATTTGTATTGAAATAACTCTCAATAAAATCATCAATTCCTGAAGACAGGCATTCAGCCCCAGAAGATCCATTAGCATAATCAATTAGTGGGATATTACTTCTATTTTCCAGCATCTGTTTCTCATCAATGATTTCGTGGAAATCACCCCTGTAAAAATGTTGCTTCTCTTGCTTATTTTCCACTTGTGCTACATGATTATCTAGATTGCCATTTAATTTGGGTGATGGTTCTGCCTGCCTTATCATGTTTTCATCATCTAGTAGAGCAACAACTCTTCTTTTAGTTTTCTGTCTGCCTTTTCTCCTCTCCAACAAATCACCCTCTTCATTAATGCAATGAGCATTTTCAACATCATGGGCAGCAGCATGAACATCATTGATTGATGATTGCAAAGAGTGGTCCATGTTTAAAAATTCCTGCATACTGGATGTTTGGTCTACACATTTTCCAACTAAATGTTTGTCATTTTCTCTTGCATGAGGAACCTCATGTTTTATGCCATAATACTTGAAACAATCTGAATATGGGTGTTCTTCAGAATTCTTATTCAACCAGTTCTCATTCAGTAAGTGATGAACTTCAGGAGCTGACTGCTTAGATTCACTATTATCATCTTCGCTGCAGCTGGTATTACTATCAGATGATGCCACTGAATAGGACTCTGCGGATAACTGTAAAATTTCCTCCTCTAAGTTATGGCGACGGTGAAGAATATCCTCTTGATAATGAGGTGGTGATCCTGGGAAAGCAGACAATGAATAAGACTCTGAAATATCATCAATGACAGACAATGCAGACATGCTCAAATTTTCGACCATCCTGTAACTTCTTTGAGTGGTGAATGAGTGAGCATCGGAACTTTTAGTTTGTGCACTGACAGTACTATTCCCTTCATGAGAATAAACTTTTACATTCTCCTTAAGATATCTACTATTGATACCAACTGGGCTGACCCCACCAGCATTCCCCATTGAACCAGTTTGGTCAAAGTGACGGGCATGTGAACCAGTAGTTACATCCAAGAAGGACCTATCTGATTCTAAAACATTTGTACTACTCTCATCTCCTGATGCTTGAACATAGTCTGAAACATATCTTGATTTTTCACCGAGCTGGGTCCAGCTAGCCTTGGATTTGATATAATTTTCCCTCTCGGCGTGCAACGTATCCCCACTATATCTACTGCTGTCTGCAATATTCTCAGAAGCATGATCCAACCATTCCTTGAACTCCCGCAACCAAAGAACAGATCGCTCTTTCTTCATTTGCTCAACTCTAGTCATTAAATCAACAATTTCAGCTTCATCATCAGACATCACAATTTCCTCTCTGCTTTGAATCTCATTGTCACAAGACACAGACTCCTGGTCAGAACATAGATATGTGCTCTCTTCTTCATTCACAATAGAAGCAAGACGTGATACCTTTTTCTGCAAAAAAGAAGAAGTAACAATGCAAGATTTTACAATTGTTACGCGATAATTGAGTAGATGAACATAGCACAGATATTTTACAACAAAAAAGTATACATGATTCACTTGGCATATAGGAAAGATTTCACTAAAGAAGAAGATTAGATTTACATTAAGCACCAAAGGTCAGGCACACTCACTTCGCCCCCATACTTATGTGTGGGTACTGGGCAGGCAGATGTTCAATCATAAAAGACTCACAACAACTCTAGTAGTGACCTACCCTTCTTCTGTTGATACTTGATTCTCCTTCAGGATCACACTTTGCAGGAGAATAAAACCCAAAGCTGGCAGGTCGCTTTTGCCGGCTGGCAATAATAAGTTGCCTCTTCCAAAATTCTCTGGTACTGATTTCCTTATCATCTAACTTCAACTAATCAGCCATACAACCAGAAAAAAAAAATTGGAAAACATAATTAGCAAATGACAAGAAATATGTAATGAATGCTTCGAACTTTTATAACACACAACTTGTGCGTCTATGTATTTCAGGTCCAAAGGAATGAAGAAATATAATCCAAAAAGAAAAATATGATAAATCATAACTTACTTTTTCTGGATTAGTGAGGTAGCTGAATACGTGTGACCGATACCAACGGGCGCAACATAATGGATTCCCTTCCAACCACAAGCTTTGTAGAGCTGGGAGTCCAGCCAGGTATTCTAACTCTGAAAAATTGGAAATGATATTGTAGGAAACATCAAGCCCTTCAAGTGACTTCAAATTCTCAATCCCACGCAATGTAGTTAGAGCATTGTTCCTCAAAACAAGTTTAAGTATATGACAGGTGACCTGCATGGTCCAACAACATCGGAGTATGGGTCGAAATCTAATTCCTAAATAAAAAATATAAAGCACAGACAAAAATTTTGAGACTCAAACTATAGAAAAAGCAGTTCCCAGTAAATTGAAAAAATAAATTTCTCAAAGCATTGAAATCTAGTGCTAAAACTCGGTACCTCACTAATTGACGAAATTGTTCTGAGGTGATTGAAACCAAGGTCCAGGTGCTTCAATTTGACACATTTGCGAAGATTATCAACCTTTGCAAACTTGTTTCGGCTTAGGTCAAGAGTTTCAACAGCAGGAAGAAGTTGCAAAGACTCATCCATGAGAACCAAGCCATTACAAGCACATGAGACAAATGACAAGCGGTTCCATTGCGGTGAGTCCTTTATCTCTGCAATTCTACTCGCAAACACATGCCTCAGAGCATCCTAAAATATTTTATCACAATTTCAGTCATATCAAATCAATGAGCGTGTGATAGATACATAGTTTAAGAACTTTAAATGCTCATTAAGTAGCTGAGAAAAACAGATGTCACGAGGAAACCAGAGCAAAATCTATAGAAACTCACAGTAGAATTATGACAAATGATCTTCTCCAAGGTGTGCCTCAACTCGAGCAAGCCTTTTGCGGCGGAGGTGGACAAATCGCATCCTCGAAGCTCCAAAACCCTAAGCCTGCCAAACGGCCAAAACGAAAGCGGCGTAGGGTCTCTGGCCGGAGGCGGCAATACCGAAACGACCTTGAGGGAGGTCAAGAGCCTGAGAATCCTCCGAAGCTGCTCGAGCGCTCGGTGGTCGCCGAGGTCAGAGACGTAGGCTCGGAGATAGTCGACGGGAGCGCCGGCCAGGAGGCTCTCGAGCTCAAGAAGGGCCTCGAGCCGCGAGTTCACGTAGTGGAAGCCCGCCGGGTTCAGCTTGAGCACTAGGCTTCCGTCGATCAAAGAACCGGCTTGTTGCTCCACGAAGTGGACCAGCTTCTCCAGGTACCGATCTCCGGTGACAACCGCCATTGAAATTTGGCGCTTTCTTCAGGTCAAATTCGGAATTTCACTACGCGGAATCGCATGCCTGTAAAACGGCTTGCTTGTGTTGTGTTATCAGCGTGTGTAATATGAATCTAGAGAGAGAAAGAAGAAGTTCTTAGAGAGAAACAGAGAAACAGAGGCATGGCGACGGTGGGCGTGGGCGGAAGAGGAGACGGTATTCGTTTTGGAGAGAAGAACATTACATTAAATGGGTCTAATGATTGAGTTACGCAACACTGATCTCGATTTGGTTGCATTTGGGATTTCAGAAGTTTGAGAAAAATAAAAATAAAACAAAAATGAAGGCGTAATCATTTGGAGACACCTGGCCTACATGCACCTCAACAGTTGTGCTGTTCTGGGATGGGATGGGACCCTCCACGCGTTTGCTGTTGTGTTAACTTGTTTCTTGTTATTAAACTTCAGGCCCGCCACCACTGGCGGTTTCCCGGTTTGTTCCACTAGACCGGTTTTTTTTCTATTATTCTTCTTCCTTTCCTTTTAAAAAGAAAACTGAGAGAAATTTAGGATTGTTTTAACGATGTCGTTTTGGTTTTATGTTGTAGTGTAGCAGTCATTTGATTAAGCAAGAAGCTTTCAGATCGGTATCCATCCATCCAGCTAGCTAGCTAGCTAGCTAATAGCTATATGACCACCATACCACAGTTAAGACTTTAAGTAACAATTTAATTATGGTAGCATGTGGGATGTCACGTTGCAACCTTGCATTGTTTTAAGGGGAAAACAAGAGAGAAAAAAGTTTGTATTGTTTGCTTGCTTGCTTAATTATTTGGTAAAACTAATAAAAGAATCCATTACTCCAAGGTTTAGTATGAGACCTGTCAAACCCAACAACCAAAGGAAGCCCCACAAACCACACGGCGGGAATAAATGTTCACTATGGTACATAGCCCTTGCTATTGCTATTGGTATGCTGAAGCACATTCTGAATTTCACAGGTTGCGAGGTATATGTGGCCCGACGAGTGCTCTAGAACAAGGGAATATGCACCCCGGAGAGCAAGAGTTGTGCTAGCACCAGCCGGGAGGGATGAGCAACTGAATGCCAGCCATTCATGAGACGATCTGTGTGGCTGGCTTTCATGAGAGCAATGTCATAAATCAGTGATCTGAACATCTGTTTAGCTTATGCCATTATTGTGGACTAACCCGATTGTGTGAGTGTGTGGAGGAAAGGGAAATCCGAAGCTTCAGATAACTGGTCCTAAAGAAACTTGTGGTTAGAAGCATTGTCAAATGTCAACTATTGCGTGCCAAGTAACTATTAGTCATCATATCGCATTCCACTTGTAGACAGGCACACATTGTTTATATGAATCCACCCCCCAGTGAGGAATATGACACACTAAATGTCCCTTTCAAAAATTACTCGAAACCATTTCTATAATTCCTTCCTTTCATATGTAAAGTACATATAATGAAGAGGATTTGAGGTTGTCTATCACTTTTACCTGTTGTCTTTTATCAGACTTAAGAGTACAAATGGGGAAACCTAATAATATATTTGTGAGCTCACTACTCAATATATACAAATGAGGAAGCTTCAAGGCTATATAATGATCGAAGGTAAGTAAATCTTTACTTGACCTGCTCACCTAGGCGTCGCTTCTCTTCCTCAACTTGTTCAAGCAATGCTTCTAGTTCTGCTTCTGTTAGGCCTTCTAACCTCTTCTGCATATCCACAATTTGACCCCTTCGGGTGTTAGAGAGAGAGAGAGAGAGAGAGAGAGAGAGAGAGAGAGAGATTCTTAATTGTATGATGCTACAAAATTCAAGAATATTATAGAGAAAGAAAAAATAACTGAATTGGATAGAATTTTGCTAGATATAAGAGAAATTATATAATAATAAAAAAATACCTCCATGACTTTGTTCTCATAGTCACGTATTTGCTGTGCATATGTCATTTCCTTATTTGAAACTCGAAAAATATAAGTGGAAATCCATCCAATTGTCAGGCCCAACACCAGTACCAGCTGAACGACATTCCCTGCTTGTAAAGGATCAACTCCAGCAAACTGCATAAAATATCATAGCAAGAAGAATTATATGACTAGATTATGAGCTAGCTTGAAAACAAAAACAGAGCTATCAATGATAGAAAGTTTATGAAACAGTTAAATAAGAGAATAAAGTAAGTACCTCTAATCCACTTTTCAAGCCGATACCGATACCAGTTACTCCTAGTCCAATCAATAAAACATCCTTCCTTGAGTATCCAAAAGGTTTTTTCTGTTAAAAAAAGAAAGACATAAAGAGATGTAATTCTTTCCTTCCCTGACAGATATGACTCAGTGTTAGAACAAGGCAAGGGACATCTCTCTCCCAAAACCCCCATCCGACTGACTGAAAGGACCAGCTATATGAAATATACTGGACATACCAACTCCTTGTCCATGTAGGGTTAAAATCTGAGATCTATGCAAGAAGCAAGAACCATACTTCAGACAATCAATCTTATGTTTAGTAAGTACACAACATTTTAAATCCAGATACATCTCAGGACATCAGCTGGTGCTGACAAAAGAAGCCAGTGGGATAAACTCGTATTCATGTTACAGAAAAATAATAAAAATAATAAATAAATAAATAAATAAATAAGGAAGCAAAACGAATCATTAATTAGTAGTTGCTCATACATGCCTTTGCCTGATCAGAGGAGTCATCTTCAGTGCCATTAGAGTCCGAACTGCTACTTCTGGGGATGGTCATAATTCTGTTGATGCTATTAGATCTTTTTTCGCAAAAAAGGGATGTCTCCTTTCTATATAAGCTGTGAGTTATAACTCTTCCTGATGAATTCAGTATAAAATGCAGCAATATCAGCTAAATGGCCAGTTTTATAAGCAAAAGATTTAATTTGTACGCAATCCTTTTCAATTAACATTGGGAAGTTTGTTGTAGAACACTCCTTGATATCATACTATATGAATACATATAGATCAGCTAAATGGCCTTCAAGATATGATAATGACAATTTACAGTAAGACATGGAACACAAAATTTCAATGGTTAATGATAAGGACAGTAAACAGAAGAAAAATAGGAGGAGCAGCAGTCTAAAGATAACATGTAAACAGGCAAAAGGGCAATCACACCCTTAAAAGGTACTAATAATGAGCAAAAGATATTCAAATAATTCAGTCCTATAACCAAGCTCAAGTTAGATTACATACGACTCTTGTCCGCTGAATGAATGCCAGACCCATATATCATGCATGACCATCTCAACAGGACAGGCATACAATCTACAATAACCATGGATGACCATTTCAATTGATTCTCGAGTTTTTTTTTTTTCAACACAAGCTGGATGGTAAGAATGCATATCATTCTCTCTACAATTCCAAAATATTTCTTCTTAGAATGCGCAACCTTTTTACAGTTACTTATAACTTAAACTCTCAGCCGTCTCCAAACACTTCGTAGTATTTTGAACAATGTACAGCATGCCATAAACAACTAGTATCAATCAAATGAGAAGCAAAACTGCCCACATTCTATTAGACTAACCAATACAAGCCAAGGGAAGTTTTGGACAATAATAATCAGTGAAGTTTACAAAAATGTCAAATGCAACAGCTCTATATTAGTACAAATAAGACCCGAAATTAAAAGGGAAAATCGTTTGGAGTAAACCCAGATAGCTGAAGTTAAAATAACTAAGACAGGCAAACACCAACTGACCTCTCACCAAACCATCAAAAGCTCTGGCCCTCAATTGAATAGATGGAAGAGCCGAAATACCCACGAAGGAAATCGGTCCTCTTTCACATACTAAACTACAACTTGTAGGGTTTCCATGTGGAAGAGATGCCATCCCTGCAATGTTGTTCGCATGAGCACACAAAATAAAACAAACCCAAATAAATCCAAGAAAAGGGGAAAAAGATGATTAATTTGAGCATTAAACGCATGAGGCTAAATAAAATAAAATTGCTTTATCTCCTAAATGAGGCGCCTTTACTTCTTTTCTCTCTCTTTTTCTGGTCTTTGCTTACTCAGAATGGTTGTGGGCTAGCGGCAAAAGAAAGCACAAATCTAATAAAAGAACTTATCTTTTAAAAGAAGAAGAAGAAAATGAAGAATGAACAAGGAGAGAGTGCCTACCCGGTAGAGAGAGGGAAGCAGCAGCAGGTAACTCACTGATTACCGTCAATGGATTGCAGATGACTGGTATACAGCCCTTCCCTCCATCCTTTAGTCTGATTCAGCAATTTTGTCTTGCAGGGTCCCACCTTTTAAAAGATCAGGGAATTGTACCATGTCAATCAAAGATATTTATTCTCTATTTTCCTCCTCTTTTTTGGTTTTTTATTTCTTTCACTTTTGATGTTTCTCTGTTCTCCATTTGATGCTGAGTAACTTTCACCTCTCTCTGGCATGATTTTTGAGACAGCTTGAATTTTCCCTCAATAATTTTATGAGCTTAACATGTCAAATGTTTGGTAAGATAAGATTACTCCTTAAATCAATAATTATGTAACCAAATTTAAATCAGGATGCTTCATCGTCATTTGGTTGTAAAATAACCCACCAAAAGATTTAGTTCAATTTCTTTTTGGAGTCATACTCATATCAAGGATCAAGCTGCTATTAGTTTGACCAATTTACAAAACTGGCTAACATTTCCGAACTAATTAATCATACAGTTCAGATTAGATAATAGTTCCAAATCATTAGTAACATGTCTTATGGAATATTATGCACCAATAGCAGCCTTAGCTAGCATGGGAAAGTGATTGCATAACTAGCAAAGATTTGACATTGGGACACTTCTGCATAGATATTCGTCCCACATCTTGCAAAAATAGGTACACAGATATATGCAATTGTTTATCTACTCTCTCTCTCTCTCTCTCTCTACCTACAGATATATATTTGTATATAGTTAGTAGGTGACTGTGTTGAAGGAATAGTATCAGAGAAATTGTTGGTTACCGTGTCCAATCATTCGTTTGGTGGTGTCCTTAAGTGACCCCTAGTACGTTGCCCAACCGTTGCTCCATGCTTCACCCCATGTGCCCTCCTCACTGACAAATTGATGAAAATCCTATACAAATCCTGCACAATTAAAATACATGATTGCTAGAGGGAGATGTTAGGGTGACTGCTCTGTGCGTTGGTTTTCCATGATTCCACCACATTAATTAAAGTGGGGATTGTCATTTACAGGATTGCCTAACTGGAAAAACTCAGGTCCCAGCTTACATAACAGCACAAAAAATGGTTTAAAGCAAACGTAAAATGGTTTTAAAGTTGACAGAGAGGTGTGGAATTTACAGTGCTTTCAATGTACACAGAGTGACATGTATCCTCTCCTCTGTAGATAGCCGACAAATCCACCCTTCTTTTCTTCCTCTCTGTCAATCAACTACTCTCATGCATGCACAAATTTCATTTCATTTATTATATATACTCAAAGAGACTCTGCCAAATTGCCGACAGCCCCCCATCTACACCATCCGTTTCTCTCTCTCTCTCTCTCTCATCATCAACTACTCCCCACACCCAAAGAGAAGAAGAAGTTCTTCTGTCTTTCAAATTTGTTGTTTTTTTCTCATGGGGAACGCAGCAGCTTCTTGTGCTCCTTCATTGGTCATCTCAAGCAGTCGAGTTGTAAAGGTTTTGTTTTTGGATGGAAGATTGGAAGTGTACACAAGGGCAATGAAAGCAGCAGAGCTGATGTTAGAGAATCCAGGGCAGTTTGTGTGTGAATCTAGCAGCCTCAAAGTGGGCAACAGGGTTCATGGCCTTACAGCTGATGAAGAGCTCGAAAGGCGCCAATTCTATTTTCTTCTTCCCATGGACCTGCTTTACTCTGTGCTCACACATGAAGAGCTCAGCTCTCTGACTTACAAGGCTTCAAAGGCACTCAAGCACAGAAGTTTCAACAGTTTCAGTAAGATTTTTCCGGTCCTCGGAGAGTTTTGCATGTTTCCTTCAGAAGCCAAGAGATCGGATAAAAATATTGGTGATGTTATTAGTCCTTCAAGCCATTCAGAGCCAATGCTAGTATTAGTGGAGAGGTACTCAAAGCAAAGATCATGGAAGCCTGCATTGGAGACCATTGCTGAAACTCCATCTACACATTAATTAATTCTACTATTTTCATTTTTAATGAAATTTTGGTGTTATTTAATTTGTCTTTGATTAAATTTAGAAGTAATTAATTAAATAATCATGACCTGGCCTTTAATTAGATCAACAAATCAACTCAACTGAGTCAACATGTACAAAGATGATTAGCTGTTTCTTCTATGAAAAAAGATGCTAATAGTTGGCTTCTTTTTCTTCCTCCCTCCATTTCTTCTTTAAGATGGAAAGTGATGGAACCCCTTACCCTCCCGCCTCCAGTCTCTACGCCCAAAGCTAATCAAGCAGCAAACCAACCAACCAACAAGAAAAGAAAGGTTTAGTTTCGTTCAAGATTCCATGATGGTGACATTGATATGAATAATGTTCACTTGCACGATATTATTTGCTAAAAATAGCTTAGAGATTTTATGTATAGAAATAGAATAAAATAAAAATCATTATTTCATGGAAAAGGCCGAAACTTGCACAACTTATCTTATTTTTCTATTGTCTATTGGTAACCGTCCGTCTGTATTTTTTGCTGAAAATCTGCAATGACTTGGTAAATACTGAAGGGAGCTGATTTTTTCACACTTCTTTTGTCCACTTGCATTCTTATTTGGCAAACTGTTGTCTTCAACTGGCGAGCTACTTAGTGCCTCAATGGTAGAGGTTCAAAACTCGTTGAAAACACTTTATAGCTAAAAGCAAGTCGAATTCCGAACGAAGATTAATCCCACTCTTCAAGTGTAGGAATATCTCATAATATTTACAAATATATATATATGTGGGAAAATCAAGCAGCCTTACTAAATATACAAATATATTGGACTGCATTTTTATTTTCGCACTTTACAGTTACAACTCTATACATTACGTATTGTCATGACCCTTCCTTCACTCAATGAACAATCAAATCACTCCCTCCTTTTGATGACTTGGGCTTTACCTTAGCCCACCTTCAATTGATAGAGGAGGAGATGTTGAGTCCCACAAGCCAACCTAATCAAATAAATTATTTGCTTTTTATAGCCTAAGGTGGGTTTGATTATGTGACTCTCTGCAAAGTAAACCAACCACAACTTTTTTTTCCTCCGAAGATTTGTTTTAAAATATTGTTTTGGGAAAGCGACTTGGCTTCTTTAATGTGACATGGATGGATGGATGGATGGATGGATGGATGGATGGATAATATTAGGATAACAGGGGGGAAAAAAGCAAATGTCAATGGCCAAAATTCTACTTTCTGTTTTCTTTTCTTTTTTCTTTCTATCACTTCCGCATAACAAATAAATACACTAAAATGTTTATGTCATTAAACAGTGAAAAAAGAAGAAAAAAAGGACAAAAAATATCAAACGAAAAAGAGAAAGAGAAAATAAGAGCGAAGAATTCATGCTACACCGCCACTACAGATGGCAGTGATCGAAACCGGGAATCTAGAGAGAACCCCAGCCGTGGATGAAGTGGCGATCCGGTCATCAACATTGGACGGTGGAAGCACCCTCCCATCGGCAAACAGTAGCCGTCCATTTCTGGGCTGCCCCACCATGACCCCTTCAAGCTCCGCAGCCGTGTTATAAAACGCATTGTCTCCGAATCTCCTCTCCACCTCAAGAAACTCGCCGAGCGAAGCCGGCTTAGTGCAGTCGTCTCGGCAGAGGCGCCACCACCTGCGCCGCCGTTCCGCCACCACACCCACGGCTGACGAAGCAGCGGCGTTTTTCTTCTTGGGCTTCTTGGTCTTCCTGGAGCCGCTTCCGCTAGTACTGGCCATGTTGTTGTTGTTGTTGTTGGCTTGGGGGTCCCGGCGCTGTTGGCTCGGGGCTCTGAACGTGATGGCTGGAAAGCTCACTCCCATTAGGGTTCCTAAGGTCGTGCTTCGATCGTGAAAGAATGAGCCTGTAGACTGTCACCAAAAATTCAACAATATATAAAAAAGAAGACAAAATTAGTGAGGTATAAAATCAGAGAAAATCTGAATGAAACGAAAAATGGGGAAATGGGTGGAGGAGTTGGTGGGGGATGAGGGTGGAGGTAGCAGATCATTTCTTGGATCTAGCATTTTTGCTCTCTCTGTTTCTGTGTGCGTGTGTTGGTTTGGATTTTTGGAGAGGTCTCCTTTTGATCTTCTTCTGGTTGTATTTTCTGTGTGTTTGAAATTTGAAGGTTTATGTGCAATTTAAAGCGTGGAGTGATGAGAGTATGAGACCCATGAGAGATGGTGATAGATGGGATTTAATTTAACTGAAGTTGGATTGTGTTTCAAATCATTAATGTTGGGCTTTGGTGCTTTGTCCTTTTCATAATCTCATCTTCAATTGTAGTCTAATCTAAATATTTCTTTTTCCTTCCTGGAACGTAGGCTTTATAGAATTGGTTAATATCAAATAAGTCCCTCAGGTTTCTATATTATCACTAGTCACCCTGTTTGGTCCTTCAAATTTCAAAGTTACTCTTCTTTACATTTATCCATTTCAGCCTTGGTGCTCATTTCATCCTATGATATTTTGATTATTGGAATTCTTTGCTTTTAAAGACTTATGAACGAGTTTACAATGAGTATATAGTTCAAGTGACTAAAAGCATTAATCACTGCGATCAATTGAGGTCTTGTGTTCAATTTTCTCCTCTGGGACGTAATTTATCAAGGAGAAAGGCTTCGAAAGCTCCATTGCAGGCAGGTTTTGTCCCAAATTGGAAAAGCTGCCGACATGGGTGACCACAAGAGTCATGGAACCTCATGGATATGGGGCCATATGGTGTTTTATTACTACTTTAGTCTCAAAGGAAAAAATCAATTAAAGAGCTTTTGTGATTGCGTGGTGGTGAAATGGTTTCGTTTCAAGCCAAAGAAAAATTGTGTGATGATGATAATGGTATTGAAATGTGACTCTTCCTGTCCTCCATATTGAGTTGAGGCCAAACAATTCATGTGAAAAAGTTCCATGCACAAGTGGCACTCATTGGCATCACATGAAAAGTCCTAACAGATTATCATTCTCTAATGCTGTTGCCTTGCTACAAATGATCATGGGATGGGAGAATCTAGTGTTGCAATCAACCTTTAATTAAAGACTAATTATGCCACTCATCAATATTAATGAATGGTCCTTGTGAATAACAGTGTGTGTGTGTGTGCACGAGCGCGCGTGATAGATTCTCTGATATTTCATCATGTTAAACAGAGTTTAAGCCTTAATGATGTAATATCGATGCATACAAATAACCAGAATAAGAAAAGGAGGAGGAGGAGAAGAACACAATATGCCTCGACCAGTGATGAACTCGCTGGCTCTGGCCCCTCGCAGGCGTGCATGATCTGATCAATGATAGTTATAATTTGTTCCCTGACAATAGCCACCTGCACTGCAGCATTATGTTTTCTTTCCATGGATCCTTTTAGTCATGGAATATATGTACGGAACCTGGAAATGCCACATTAATAAATTCAATTAACTACCGGAGATCGACCAATTTAATAATTGTTTCTCTGTCACAATGTATTCCCTACCACACATGCAAGGCAAGCTATCTTCAAAGTTGCCTCCATCATTCTTTTGTAGTTCAGCTGTTAGGAGTAAGGTGGAAAAGAAAGCATCAGCAACCCCTCCAAATGGTTGCTTTTTGTGAGGAATAAAAAAAGATATGTTATCTACCAATATATTTCTTTTTCTATAAACAAACCTCCAATGTACACCAACAAAACCAAAATCTTTGGTCAGGTTGTTGAACCAGGAAAAAATGCCAACTCTAGCTTCAAACTATGACCACAGTCAATTGATCTACATGGGAGATAAATCATGGATATAGTCATCCCACATTTCAGTCGCAATTGAGTCTCGCAACTGCGACGTAAACTCCAGTTCTTCAGTCCCAAAAGCAATGTCCATAGCAGAGGCCTCAAAATGCATCATTGGTTCCACCTCTAGCGGGGGCAATGATTCCTCCATTTGCAGTATGGTGTCCTTCTCATACATTTTAAAAATCCAGTCATCTGGTTTCTCCCTACGCATGTAATTGTGTAGGGCACACGCTGCCACAACCAACTTGACTTGTGTTTGTAAGGGGTACGGAGGAGCTGCCATTAGGATAGGGAAGCGTGCCTTTAAAGCCCCAAAAATGCGATCAGATGCATTTCGTAACATCGAGTGTCGTTGATTAAATAGCTCTTTCGCATCTTGAGGGTGAAAACCACTAGGAAACTCCTTCGAGTGATAAGGTACACCAGGATATGGAGCAATGAAGCCAGGCATATTTGCATACTTGTTGTCCACCAGGTAGTATCTCCCTGCATAGTTACAAATTTTGTACCCAACACTGCTAGTAAGATTCTACAGTAGTTAGTTAATTTGAAAGAATAAGATTGTTTCCATTTTTTGAAACAAGTTGACCCCCATGTGTTGCGTACGTGGGATCCAGCATTTACTTCTAGAACTCATTGTGTAACAAGTAAATTATAATCTGGAAAGTGATAGTCTGCAACCATATCCACCCCCATTATCATGTGAGCTAGACAAGAGAGAGCTGCTCTCTGTGTTTCAGAAAGTATACCGTGAATTGCTTCTCATGCTCTTTGGAAAAATAATATTTGAAAGGAATATTGGGCAAAGATGTCCACCAAAATGTTATAAATGTGTTAAGAGAGTTCATATTGTGGCTTGATTGCAATTTCATAGTGTGAAACAACTTTTTCCAAAAGAAAATCACACATTCAAGATACTTAGTGAATGACATAAATTGCGATTTATTATTAGGCAAGCACAGTTTGTCCAAATTGACATCACACTCGCACCAGTATGCTGCTTATGATAACGGAATGGTATGCACAAAAGAATCAATACCTTCTGGGGTCTGCAATTTGTTTCGTCTTGTGAGTGCAGAATTTAAAACTTGCAAATCTGATGCAGAGCCTTCCCAACCCGCCAAGACATAATGGAACTTGAGATCAAATGAGCAAGCAGCCAGAACATTTTGTGAAAGTAAGCCATTCTTGTTGCGGAAAGGTCCTTGCTCAT